TTCGGCCCGAAAAAAAAACGACAGTGGTACCCCTTACGTTTTTTTTTTTTGGGCGAAAAATTAAGTTTCTCCAATCTTCCCAAATTCTGATAGAGGGCCATGAGACTTAGACCTGAGTGCAAAAATGGAGGCTCTAGCCCCTTCCAGAGCTGAGATATCGAAACTCAAAAATTCGGCCCGAAAAAAAAACGACAGTGGTACCCCTTACGTTTTTTTTTTTGGGCGAAAAATTAAGTTTCTCCAATCTTCCCAAATTCTGATAGAGGGCCATGAGACTTAGACCTGAGTGCAAAAATGGAGGCTCTAGCCCCTTCCAGAGCTGAGATATCGAAACTCAAAAATTCGGCCCGAAAAAAAAAACGACAGTGGTACCCCTTACGTTTTTTTTTTGGGCGAAAAATTAAGTTTCTCCAATCTTCCCAAATTCTGATAGAGGGCCATGAGACTTAGACCTGAGTGCAAAAATGGAGGCTCTAGCCCCTTCCAGAGCTGAGATATCGAAACTCAAAAATTCGGCCCGAAAAAAAAAACGACAGTGGTACCCCTTACGTTTTTTTTTTTGGGCGAAAAATTAAGTTTCTCCAATCTTCCCAAATTCTGATAGAGGGCCATGAGACTTAGACCTGAGTGCAAAAATGGAGGCTCTAGCCCCTTCCAGAGCTGAGATATCGAAACTCAAAAATTCGGCCCGAAAAAAAAACGACAGTGGTACCCCTTACGTTTTTTTTTTGGGCGAAAAATTAAGTTTCTCCAATCTTCCCAAATTCTGATAGAGGGCCATGAGACTTAGACCTGAGTGCAAAAATGGAGGCTCTAGCCCCTTCCAGAGCTGAGATATCGAAACTCAAAAATTCGGCCCGAAAAAAAAAACGACAGTGGTACCCCTTACGTTTTTTTTTTTGGGCGAAAAATTAAGTTTCTCCAATCTTCCCAAATTCTGATAGAGGGCCATGAGACTTAGACCTGAGTGCAAAAATGGAGGCTCTAGCCCCTTCCAGAGCTGAGATATCGAAACTCAAAAATTCGGCCCGAAAAAAAAAACGACAGTGGTACCCCTTACGTTTTTTTTTGGGCGAAAAATTAAGTTTCTCCAATCTTCCCAAATTCTGATAGAGGGCCATGAGACTTAGACCTGAGTGCAAAAATGGAGGCTCTAGCCCCTTCCAGAGCTGAGATATCGAAACTCAAAAATTCGGCCCGAAAAAAAAAACGACAGTGGTACCCCTTACGTTTTTTTTTTGGGCGAAAAATTAAGTTTCTCCAATCTTCCCAAATTCTGATAGAGGGCCATGAGACTTAGACCTGAGTGCAAAAATGGAGGCTCTAGCCCCTTCCAGAGCTGAGATATCGAAACTCAAAAATTCGGCCCGAAAAAAAAACGACAGTGGTACCCCTTACGTTTTTTTTTTTGGGCAAAAAATTAAGTTTCTCCAATCTTCCCAAATTCTGATAGAGGGCCATGAGACTTAGACCTGAGTGCAAAAATGGAGGCTCTAGCCCCTTCCAGAGCTGAGATATCGAAACTCAAAAATTCGGCCCGAAAAAAAAACGACAGTGGTACCCCTTACGTTTTTTTTTTTGGGCGAAAAATTAAGTTTCTCCAATCTTCCCAAATTCTGATAGAGGGCCATGAGACTTAGACCTGAGTGCAAAAATGGAGGCTCTAGCCCCTTCCAGAGCTGAGATATCGAAACTCAAAAATTCGGCCCGAAAAAAAAAACGACAGTGGTACCCCTTTTGTTTTTTTTGGGGGGCGAAAAATTAAGTTTCTCCAATCTTCCCAAAACTCTGGATTCTGATAGAGGGCCATGAGACTTAGACCTGAGTGCAAAAATGGAGGCTCTAGCCCCTTCCAGAGCTGAGATATCGAAACTCAAAAATTCGGCCCGAAAAAAAAACGACAGTGGTACCCCTTACGTTTTTTTTTGGGGCGAAAAATTAAGTTTCTCCAATCTTCCCAAATTCTGATAGAGGGCCATGAGACTTAGACCTGAGTGCAAAAATGGAGGCTCTAGCCCCTTCCAGAGCTGAGATATCGAAACTCAAAAATTCGGCCCGAAAAAAAAAACGACAGTGGTACCCCTTACGTTTTTTTTTTTTGGGCGAAAAATTAAGTTTCTCCAATCTTCCCAAATTCTGATAGAGGGCCATGAGACTTAGACCTGAGTGCAAAAATGGAGGCTCTAGCCCCTTCCAGAGCTGAGATATCGAAACTCAAAAATTCGGCCCGAAAAAAAAAAACGACAGTGGTACCCCTTACGTTTTTTTTTTGGGCGAAAAATTAAGTTTCTCCAATCTTCCCAAATTCTGATAGAGGGCCATGAGACTTAGACCTGAGTGCAAAAATGGAGGCTCTAGCCCCTTCCAGAGCTGAGATATCGAAACTCAAAAATTCGGCCCGAAAAAAAAACGACAGTGGTACCCCTTACGTTTTTTTTTGGGCGAAAAATTAAGTTTCTCCAATCTTCCCAAATTCTGATAGAGGGCCATGAGACTTAGACCTGAGTGCAAAAATGGAGGCTCTAGCCCCTTCCAGAGCTGAGATATCGAAACTCAAAAATTCGGCCCGAAAAAAAAACGACAGTGGTACCCCTTACGTTTTTTTTTTGGGCGAAAAATTAAGTTTCTCCAATCTTCCCAAATTCTGATAGAGGGCCATGAGACTTAGACCTGAGTGCAAAAATGGAGGCTCTAGCCCCTTCCAGAGCTGAGATATCGAAACTCAAAAATTCGGCCCGAAAAAAAAACGACAGTGGTACCCCTTACGTTTTTTTTTTGGGCGAAAAATTAAGTTTCTCCAATCTTCCCAAATTCTGATAGAGGGCCATGAGACTTAGACCTGAGTGCAAAAATGGAGGCTCTAGCCCCTTCCAGAGCTGAGATATCGAAACTCAAAAATTCGGCCCGAAAAAAAAACCACAGTGGTACCCCTTACGTTTTTTTTTTGGGCGAAAAATTAAGTTTCTCCAATCTTCCCAAATTCTGATAGAGGCCCATGAGACTTAGACCCATGAGACTTAGACCGATACAAATATTTTTGGGTTTTAAAATCCGATATTCCGATATATTGGCCGATATTTTATTTATTTTTTTAAACTGGACATGATAGTCGCAAATTTTGTCATGCTTATTTGAGTTAAGAGAACTGATGGGGGTGATCTTTTAATTGTTATTCTAGCAATGTATGTATCTGAACAATTCAACGAGTGTTGCTGTGAGTGCCCTCTAGTGGACAAACTATACAACTCCAACACTCATGACATGGTTCAAGCGTGATTCGTCTGTTTTTATGTTATTTTTGAAATATTTATTTATCGGCCATTATAACTGCCGATAACGATAATTTGGAAAATACCTAATATAGGCCGATAATATCGACCTGCCGATAAATCGGTCTGGCTCTAATGTAGAATATCATGCAGAATAAGGCATTAATATGTGCTTTATAAGTACTAATAAACAGCCGATATCCTAGTAAAAAACTGCCACTCTGCCCTGGCTTTAAGCGAGAAAGTGTGTGTGCTATAAATGTGCTGTAGAACTGTTGCAGAGCTATGGCTGGAAGAATTCAGGGGAAAAGCCTATTTTATTATGTGCTTAAAGAAACAACAATGGTCCACTTTAGATGGCTTAACTCAAACTGGTTTATATAACAATGCCTATTAATGCATAATCTGGAAAATTAGTAACAATTTATTCAGAATGTGATGACTGCAAATACATATTGCAAATACATGGGGGATGACTGCAAATACATAGGGAGGAGTGTGTCACCTTTTGGGAGTCTTGTATGAATGAATGTCTTGTTTGGTTTTGGCTTATATATTTAGCTATATAGTACTACTGTAAAGCATGTTTTTTGTTTTGTTTGTTTGTTTTTCTTGTGTATTTGTTTTTTGGTTTTGGTTTTTGCTATCTGTTATGTTAAATTCCAGCTGCTGTAAGGTCAATGTTTTATTTGAATCTAGAATCGAGGACCCCCTCGAAAACGAGATGGTTCATCTCAAGGGGCTATTCCTCTTTAATAAAATGTCAAATATATAATATATTGCTAAAGTATTTGTTGTTGGAGACAATAAATGTGCCATGTGTGTATTTTTATGAAAGCGACCATTATAATCGGGGTAATCAATGCAGGCTAATATAATTAGTTTGTGCTTTTGTTTTTATTTTCATTTTTAGTTTAGCCTTTCGTCAATTTAATAACAAAAGCATTATTTTAGTTTTTAGATTGTAATGTTATAATTTAATGTGCTTTTAACCACCTTTTTTGCACATAATATATTGCATAGCCAACATTACATTCACTATATTTGTTTCTATATCCTTCAACATTAACATTGTTTGTAGGATATCATTGGGCAGAGTGTGAAATACATATTTTTTTAATAAATACAGATTTTCTTTGTCCAAATAGAAAAACGTATAAAGTACCGAGATATATTTATATCGTGTAGCGCCATTTAACCAAAAAAATGAATTTTGGGCATATTCAGTACTTGACTGAATAACTTGTAACTATATTTGTAATGTATATGTTATTTATTGCAGTGCAGTGTTATTTAACATTTGATTAGTTTATGAACCTGAATACCTGAAAATCATGTCTTTGTTCAGTTGTATCTATTTGTTGTGATTGCTATTCTTTTTTAACAGTGTCTACTTGTCTTTAATAATGCTTGAAATTAGTTTGGCTAGTTGTTGTAGCGGGGATGCTAACATGAGGAATTATAATCTGCAGTTTTGCCCTGTCAAATCAATTATGCTGACAAATAAACGTGAATTTCTCAGTCTTTCTCAGTCAAGTAAACATTGTTTATGTATACTACCGACATTGTAACAATATAAAGCGGGTTGAAAATCGGCAAAGTTATGCTTTAATGCTGTACATCTGCAAATGACTGAGCGACTGTGTCCAATCACAGAACCCAAAAGCTGTGCATGAGAACTCATAAAAGCATTTCAAAGTAACCTGACTGAAGCGTGAAAAGCATGCTTACATGATCTGTCTCTCCAGAAAGTCGACCCCAATGGTCTTCTTGTAGTCCTTGGTGAAGATGCCCTTGCAGTATCGCTGGATCATGCTGGACTTGCCGACCGCCCCGTTGCCCACCACCACCACCTTGATGGCTACTTCCATGTCCTCCTCCAGCATGGCTGGGTCTGTGTGGGGTTCACGTCACTTTAGAGCTTCTGCTGTGGGATCTGCTCAACTCTGGCCTGTTTAAGAGAGCAATTGACAGATCAGTCATAATCACACACATTATGATGCATCAGGCGTTAACTAAAGGGATACTTTAGGATTAATAGAAAACCTGTAGTATTTTCAGATTTTCCACCCTCATATCCCCGTCAGACGAGAGATTTATGTATTTTTTGTCTGGAAAAAATCTTCTAAAAATCGTCATTTTGCGTCAAGAGTATTTTTTGTCCAGAGGCTAAAGACTACAGTCTGTCCCGCATGTCCACAACCCACCCATAGAGGGTGATCTCGCTCACAGAATGAACACATAATGTCAGCCATCTTTTTTTTTTTTGGAAGCTAAGCTAGCAGGCTCTTGTTCTGTGGAGAAAGCTGAGTAGTAGGGGTTACCATCCTCTTTTTCCCGGACATGTCCGGCCGTCGGGGATTCAGCTTTTGCTTTCTGCAGTCGCCATTCATTGTTTACATGCACAGCTTTTGTTTCAATCGAACTGAATTCAATCCAATTGGTGAATCTGAGTGTAGTGTTTACATGAACGCTCCCGCGGCTCTCACTCGTCCCGCTCGCCACAGTAAACATTTTTGGTTTTGCATGTCTTGCTTTCTTCAGTGGAAAATAAATTACGTTTTTTGAGGAAAACATTTCAGGATTTTCCTGTACCACCCCATTGTTTACAAGTGGAGAAGGAGGATCGCTCAAATTTTATTGTATGTTGAATGACATAGTTATGTCTTTGTGTCAGTTTATTGTTTAAAATGGTCCTTTCGTGAGTGTATCCTGGATGTGTAAAACAACGGGAAGGTACTTTTTTATTTATTTTAGAAATGGCCGATGGTTTCACTAGATAAGGCCCTAATAAAGAGGGCAGCACTCAGACGTTTTTACACCATTTATTGTAGAATTAAAACATTTTATACAAAAAAAAATTGTCACAAAAATTCTTGAATCAATGAACAGCATTAATAAAGCCCCAGTCTTACATATATATCATTAACTAAAAAAAAGTTGTTTTAGGGTTTAATTACCCTTTAAACAGTGACAGGATCCATTTAACAAAGCGACATTTCAGTAGTTTGTCCCGAAGCTTGTCTACTCTTCTGCTACACACCCAAAGTATGTACTTTTCTTCCCAAAAACAGTACTTGAGGTCACAGTGTAAGTATGTGACTTGGGATAGACACAATGGTCGTGTCTACAGGAGTCTGGAGTCTTGAATGCTGCAGATAGCAGCGAGACAGAGACACTAGCGATTACATATTACGTTACGCTAGCAAGGCCTCCCACGTTTCTCCTGAGTAACTGAATACACCAGCTAACCTGACACAACAATAACCATATCCATGAGTGTCACACCCGACCTCATCTCCACGGGAGATTCTCACATAAAACACACCTGCAAAATCTGTATAATAATGTCTTTTTGTTATGTACTGTTGTAGACATTTAGTTGGATTTCTAATACTTTACAATAAGGTTCGTTAGTGAACATGAACGAACAATGAACTGCACATATGCTGCATTTATTAATCTTTGTTAATAGTTTCAACATTTACTAACACTTCATTAGAATCCTGTTAGCATTAGTTAATGCACACTGAACAAACAATGAACAGCTGGATTTATATTAACTAACGTTAACAAAGATAACCGAATACAGTAACAAATGTATTGCTCATTGTTAGTTCATGTTTAGGCTAATGAAGCTGATTGTAAAGTGTTACCAATATACATTTACAGATCAATTTAAACTCTTTTATAAATGTGTTTTAAATGCATTTTACAGACAAGATTAGATTTCTTCCTTTCGTTTGGTTCGGCTTTGCTTTTAGAAGAAAAGATGAATCAGTGTCGTTTCTCGACAGGTGTTTCAGAAGGACTACTGTGTTACACGGAGATCCTCATAACCAGGGAAGTGTGTGTGTGTTCTCTCACTCACTCGGTGTGTATGTATATAGCAGGTGGAAAAACACACTGAACCCTAAAATATAAGTATATGACACACACTATATGAGCAGCTAAACTTCAAGAGATCCACATGCCTGTTTAAAGCAGCTGTTAGTGGTCAGATTACAAAAATCCATCACAAAACGTCTCACACAGGATTACATGTGCTGCAGTTAGTCCATTTAAGAGATCTGTACACTACTTTTGATTACACACACAAAAGGGGCAAAAACATTGCAGCAAACGGCTCATCAAAGTACCATCTAACCATTCATCACCATGTTTTACCATATTCATTAAACATGTTATAAGATACAACTCCAAAGAATTTCAAGGAACCCCCATATTTTTGGTGTATATTAATGAGTAATATTAATTAACAACAGACTAACTGTATACACTGTAAAAAATATTTTCAAGATTTGTTATCACAACATATTTTCTTTTGTCAAATCAACTTTATAATAATTTATTTAGTTGAGAACTTATTATTTTGAGTTTCTGATGGTTAAATTAATCTACTTTATTAATTCACTTTTTCTAGTTCAATCAACTTAAAATTTTAAGGCAACCAGGTTACTTACTTTTTTAAGTTAAACCATCAATAATTTTTTACAGTGGGGGTTAGGTTTGGCTGCTTGTAATTATAGTGTACTGTTATTACTATAGTATATACATGTAACAAGGACACCGAGATAAAGTGGGTTACAATATTTTACTGTAATTACACATTTCAGTACTGAGTAATATTAAGTCACTACATGTACTTACTAGAGTTTGATTTGGTTTAGCGTTTCATGTAATTATGCACAATTTATAGTTATTACTATAGTAATTTACAAATAACATAATGACACTGTAAAATAAACTCTTACCAACAGTGCTGTGGTGAAACGTTCTCAGACCTATAACTAAAAAGTAAGCAAACATTCTGTAAATAACATTTTTAAAGTTACATTCTTAAAGTGAACCTTAATAGAACGTTTTTTCAATGTTATTTGGTCGATCTTAAATTATGTTCTCAAAACGTTAGCATTATATTTATAAGTCGTTCCAAAACGTTTTTTGTCTTAAATGTTCCAGAACGTTCAGAGAACCTTATGTTTGCAGACAAGAGTGAACAAATGGAATGTTTTATATTAACGTTCGCATTAAAAATAAAACGTTAAAAAACAGGTAGTTTCGAACGTTCAGAGGCCTTTCATGAAAAAAAAAAAAAAACGTTTTCATAACTTTATGTGAATGTTTAGAATTACAATCATTAGAATTAGAATGTTAGAATCATTCTTAAAGTAAGTTAACAGTTAGTTCTAAAAATGTTCTCAAAACGTTAGCATGATATACGTCGTTCGCAAAACGTTTTTCCTGAAATGTTTCAGTTGATCAAATGTTTTTTTTTAGATGTTTCGGGACGTTCAGAGAACTTTAAGGGGGAAAAGAACATTAGCAAAATGTTCTTAGAACATGTGTTAGCAGGGATGGTGCAGTGATGTGTCTGGTGTCATGATACTGTGTTATATAGACGCACTGAACGATTATTAATAAGTATTCGAATGGTACTTAACATAATTTCACGGTACATTTTGTTAGTGAGAACGGGAACGCGGTGTCTTACCTGCATTCGTGTTGCCAGGTTACATTACATTATTTCGTCTCTGAAGATCCGACACGAGGATAATAATAAGCGCGAGCTGTCCAGGAAGATCCACGCGCACACACACAGTTCTAGTGATTTATGAACACACACATCTGCTGAATGTAAATATTACACAGCTGGATGAAGAGAGCTTTTTAATCCGCAGTTTATCAAAGGAGTGGCCTCCTCCTTTACCGCTCTCTCTCTCTCTCTCTCTCTCTCTCTCTCTCTCTCTCTCTCTCTCTCTCTCTCTCTCTCTCTCTCTCTCTCTCTCTCTTCAGCCTGGATGAGCCAATCTCAAACGAAGTCTGAAAAAGCAAATGTCAACAGATACAAATGAGAACATTTATAGCGGAGCGTCGTAACGTGTTTTGCGCTCATCCACGACTGTCTTTACGGTGTGTATCTCATCTGTTGACCGCAGCAACAGTCGCGTGAAGCGGGAGACCACTCTGCGATATCGGTCTGTCGCCCACCAAAAACACCCTTTCCAAAATAAAAGCCAGTTCATTTATTTAATTGTATTTAGTCACCAAAATGAATGTTTTTCATTTTGAAAATCCAAAATGAATTTTCATGTTTTTTTGTTTGTTTTTTTGTTTATTTAATCGATTATTGCAGTATTTGTTATGAATTATTTTATAATTAAAATAATCTTTTAATTATAACACATCTTTTTTAATTTGTCCTCGTAATCCCTACTCTCCTCTTGTTGCTGCAAGATCTCTTCTCTTCTCTGATGACATTTTTATTGGTGCAAGGGCGGGACACTTTCGACCAATAGCAAACCACAACATCCAATCAATTCAATTGGCTCTATGTACAGCTGCACTACTTCCTGAACTTCAGCCAGCTCCTTGTTTCCTGTCTGCCATTATTGGACAAACTTGATTAATTCAGGTGTGTCTGATTATTGTTGTTGTGACTACTGAGGTAGCAGACAGGAATCAAGGAGCTGGCTTAAGTTCAGAAAGTAATGCAGCTGTGCATAAAAAAATCACATATCCCCCAACATTTTTTCTTGTTCGAAAAAAGCCGTTTCTCCCGGATATACGTCACAATACAGAAAAAAAGATTATTGCAACTTCTATCTCATGCTGACTTTACAAAACTGGCCGAAGAACTGTTCCCATATAAGAAAATATGGCAAATTTCAAACTTCATACTTTGGGTGTTTCTGCATCACACAAGCAATGATGGAAGACCGTGCGAAAATGTTCAGCGTTTATGGAATGTAATGAGTTATGTTACTTTTGCATTAGTTTTTCTCACCTGAGCTGGGCTTGATTGTGTTTTAATAACAAACAAAAAGTTATATTTTGTCAAACATAAAGGAACTTTTGGTCCCACTTTATATTAAGTGGCTTTAAGTACTATGTACTTACATTTAAAAATAATTACAATGTACTTATTGTGCTCATGTTGTATTGTAAATCACTTTTGGTGCTATTGAGGTGGGATATAAGGTTTGGGACAGGTGTGTGGGTAGGTTTAAGGGTAGGTTTAAGTGTAAGGGATGGGTCAGCTGTGTAATTACAGATGTAATTACATAAATTAATTACGGCTGTAATTACATGCTGGTATTTTTTAAATATAAGTACAATGTAAAAACATGTATGTACACAATAAGTCCATTGTATTAAATTATTAATTTCAATGTAGTACATGGTACTTAAAGCCACTTAATATAAAGTGGGACCGAACTTTTTTTCAAAAGTGAAATGAATAAGCCTCAGGCTGAAGAAAAATGCATATTCACAGCTGTACAGTACATGGTTCAGCATATGTGATGTTTCTCTAAAGTATTTTTTTTTTTTTTTGTAAGTAAGTGGATCACCGAAGGTCAGCAGCAAAGACATTGCTAAATAAAGTGAGATTAAATACATAAAGTATATTTGTGTTATTTAACATTTAATTATTGCAGAGAATTTTATTAAATTTGAGGAAAACTGAATCTGGTTTTTTTTTTGCAAGTGAGATTAATAAATGTACAATTATTCTAGAACTACAATACCAAAACTTTACTCACTTACGATCCTGTCAACATGAGGACAAGAGAGCTGTCAGTCAATACATGGGAAAACAAAGTAACTAACTGTAGCATTACATGTCTGAAAAAGTAACTCAGATATTTTATTGTAAACTTAAAAGTAATGTGTTACTTGATACTTGAAAAAAGTAATCTGATTACGTAACTTTACTCACGTTACTTCTAATGTTTTACCCTAAGAATATAATGAGTATTTATACATTTTTGGTTTACATTAAGACATAGTTAAATATTTTTACAATAGTTATAGTATCAATCCAATTTCAGCAAAATGATAAAATGGTATTTAGGAAGATATGATAGTCTCACATTAACGACTCAATTTCTGCAGAGCATTGAGGAACAATAATTTACTCATTTGTCTAAAATCAAATACTGCAGTTGTCCGATATTTGACTATTTTATTTGAAATAGGCTATAGATAAAATGAAGAGGACATTGAAGATCTCGAGATGAAATAGTTTAAATTAATCCTGTCAGTATGTAAATGCAGTGCCCCTGCTCTGTCTGCATGCTAATGGCATTGAGACGCCCCATTGCCCGAGACATTTCTCAAGGTCCCTCACTTGCCCCCATTCTACTGCACATTTGCCCAGGATGTGATCAGCCATGTTGACTTTTATTGTAGAGAAAAATCATCCAAATGAAGCTCAATATTTCCAGAAGTCAAAATTGTCACAATTATTTTCCATTATAAAGCGGTTAGTTCCAATCTTTGATTCTGATTGGTCAATAGTTATCAGGCTTTATTCATGATAAACACCGCTATGACCGCTTCACCCAATGGTTCTATTTATCACGGCGCAACACGGTAAGGGACTATTTTTTCTAGCGGAAGGAAGGCTTTTATTGATTTTACTTCATGAAAGTTGCACTAATACATTTATTTTTATTTTTTTACTTTAATATTTTTATTCTGTGGTAACCGTTTTATAAAAGCAAAGGTACTGGAGGCAAGTGCTGTATCGTGAATAAGTAACGGCTGTGTAGCTCCGCTTCACGTCGTGCAACAACTATGCTAACGCCCTTCAGCCGTTACTTATTCACGATACAGCACAGCCATATTGCATGCATAACTAGGATTCACTCGAACTGTTTTCCCAGCATTAATTTCTACATCTTCTGCTCTCTAATTGTGATGATCTTTCTCACAAGGAAAATGTAACATTCTCCAAGGACAATCAACTCTTCTGAGGCAAGAAACGTCCACGTGACACTTACTTAAGAAACACTCTCTATGCAAAAACTGCTCAAAACTTCTCATCCTTTTTCATATATTTTAATGGACACAGCGTTCGAACAATATTTGCAACATAATACAATATAAATCTCAATTTTGTGTTTTCAGAATGAACAATTCTTCATAACAAATGTCATTTTTTGGTTTTATCCCTCCCTCCATAAAACAAAAAGGATACAAACTTCTCATCTTGACCTTTGTAGTCAACAGTCATAAGGCCTAAAACACACATCTGGCTTTTATAATATTCAAGCTTGTTCTGCAATTGTTTTCTTTAAAATAGAAAAAATATTTCAACACTTTCTCTTTATTAAATTAGCCATCTTGGATCAGTCACCTATCTTCGGGTGGAATCTGGGTCAATTTCTTTCAGTATATTATATTAAATGCATATATTATGAGCAAAAGGCCTAGTTTTCCTCCGAATGTACAATATGTGTTGTGCTCAAGAGTTTCAGTCAACAGCTAAAGCCAAGAAGAAGCCAGCCACTTGGTTTATTCATGTAATTACAGTAACAGTCATATATACAAACATCAGTTCATTTACATATGTATACAATTGACACACACATACACAAAATCGTCAAACTCGACAAGTATGGCACTGGCAACAGCAAGGCCACAAATGCAATCTGGAAATCCCCATTTGATCAACTGTATTCCTTGAATTCATTGTATGTCATCAAAAAAAAAAAAAAAAAAGGTTCTGCCAAGTGCATACACGTAAATGATACTGTTTTGAATGGTTAGTATTAGTAAGGAATGGGATTGTCATTTTTGGGGCTAAGAAGCTAATGCTTTTTTTATTGCCATCTGGTCTGGACAGAGTAGACATTCTTGACAAATAGAAGTGCAAACTTTGCATTTTCAAATAGCATAAAGCTTAAAAATTACAAGAAATGTTGGGGAATATTAGAAGGGATATCATGAAAAGTGCAAAAAGAGTACAAAAAATAAAATAAAAAAATACCACATGTATCTTGCCCTTAATTAAAATTCGACACTTTTTCTAAATACCAAAAAGTGACATCACAACTACATGGTGAAATGTTTGCTGGAGGCATTCAGAGTAATGCTTAAAAGTTTCATTTATACAGCCAACATCAATGTCTCTTCTGCCGGAGAAATGTACAATTACAGAGAAGCTTTTGGCAGATATCAAAAGAGTAGTTCACTTTAAAATAAACTTTTGCTGATAATTTACTCACCCCCATGTCATCCAAGATGTCCATGTCTTTCTTTCTTCAGTTAAAAAGAAATTAAGGTTTTTAATGAAATCATTCCAGCATTTTTCTCCATATAATGGACTTCAATGGGAACCAAACGGTTCAAGGTCCAAAAGACAGTTTCAGTGCAAACTGTTCAAAGGGCTTTAAACGATTTCAGACGATGAATAAGGATCTTTTTTGAACTCATTTATCAAAATGAACCAATCTTTTTTCGTGTCATTTGGTTCATTCAACGCAACGAACAAAATAAACGAGTTGACTCGTGAAAAGATTTCAAACGAGTTCAAACAGGAGAGTCACAAACACACATTACAGAACAGAGCAAGGCAAGCATTTGAGCTTATAAAATGTAAACTTTTTTTAGATCCTTATTCATCGTCTGAAATCATTTTCACAGTTTGCACTGAAACTGTCTTTTGGACCTTGAACCGTTTGGTTCCCATTGAAGTCCATTATATGGAGAAAATGCTGGAATGTTTTCATCAAAAACCTTAATTTCTTTTCGACTGAAGAAAGAAAGACATGGACATCTTGGATGACATGGGGGTGAATAAATTATCCGCAAAAGTTTTTTTAAAAGTGAACTACTCCTTTAAACGGATCCTGTTATTGTTATAATTAAACACATGAGTATGGTGTTATGGCAGTTCTGACTTTACATGCGTAACAGATTAAGCCTCGGCATAGAAATGCACATACAGCGACACAGGCGAGCGAGATATTCAGCTTGGCAAAGTTATAGCCTAGCAAAACCAACAGGACTAGAACTTCAAGTGCCCTGGATGTAAATATCTATACATGCATTTCATGACAATAAGAGAATAAAGTTGTGGCTCATAAGAACAGACACACACTAAGATGCGTTTTGACGTTGTCGAGTGGAAATATAAATTTTAGTTGAATTATGAAGCATCATATTTGCAATCTGGTCATTTTCTAACAGGACATTCTCCAATTACACAAATTATTGCATTTTGACGTCACTACCGGGGATAACCCTGTGAAAGTGGAAAACATGCATATCCAGGTTATTGGTTTGCATGGAAACACAGGTTTTTTCAATAAGCACATTTTTGGGAGTGTGTGCATGTAAAAGTTCCCACTGTCAAAAGTGTACGTATGAGCATCACAACAAAACTGGCATTATACGCAGCTTTGACCTTTAACAGGAGCGATGTAGTTTTTTCACTGCCTCTCCTTACAGTGAGTAAGCACAACCTGATCCGGCTGGATGGCTGTGTGAAATTTGCTAATGGACCAAATACTGATTTCATCAAATGACTTTGTGTGAGCAGAGTTATTCTCACAAACATTCAGGACTAAGAATCGGCGGCCGTGAGCCGTATCCCTCAGCGAAGTCCTCAGGACTCATTTCATGCAGGAATTTGGGACTGTTATAGTCAGACGACTGGCCGAAGCCTGTAAAGTCTTCATCACCCTCTTCAGGAGCCTCAGGGTCCTCCACTTCTGTGTTAGCAAGGTCAGTGGTTGTTTCGCAGTCTTTCTCATCTACAGTAATGGGGGAAGAGCCATAGGTGACATCATTCAGGAGTGGTTTGTGTCCATCAGACGCCGTTGGAGAGACGGTGGAGCAGTCGGGTTGGGGAAGGAGGACTGTCGGAGTCTGGCTGGAGATAATGTTCAGCTGCGTATGGGAAAGAGCAAACGGTTACTGTAATAGTAGAACAACTGAGAGCAGCAAGTCACTAGACACGCCACAAATACAAAACACTGTGGCATAAAAGCCCTAAAGGGAACCCATAATCTTCATACCGTTCGGCACATGCACTGTAAAAAACAAAAACAAAACAAAACGTAATCTGTTAAATGATTTCCTTACTATATGGGAAACTACCTTACATTTCATGTAATGTTACAGTAAAATCATTTTTTTGTAAGTAAAATAAATAAACTTAAGTTCTTAGTGTGATACTTCACACCGGATGTTTTTTTTTATTTTGATAATTGTTTATTTCGTTTTTTTTTTTGGTATCAGTTATGCATATAAGGGTTTTAAATGACATCTTATGTTGTTAAATGAATGTTTATTGCATTATTTTAGTTACCATGATGGTTTTTTGTGACACTGTGCACCTTCTATATGTATTAGAGCCAGGCCGATATATCGGCAGGCCGATATTATCGGCCGATATTAGGCATTATCTAAACTATCGGTATCGGCAGTTATAATGGCCGATAAATTAATATTTAAAAAATAAAGTAAAAACGGACGAAACACGCTTGAACCATGTCATGAGTTTTGGAGTTGTATAGTTTGTCCACCAGAGGGCAACCCTGTTGGCAACACTCGTTGAGTTGGTCACGACACATAGATTGCTTGAATAACAATTAAATCTCTTCTTGGCCTGTTATATTGAAAATGTATGTTTTCCAATTTGCAGAATGACGTTATCCATTGCTAAATTATGGCTCATCATAGACTAGCTAACCACAAAGCTAGCTAATGCCACTATCACCAGTCTGTTCTGGTGTGACAATAAAAGAAACAAGTTTCTTTTTAAAATGCATATTATTTTAGTTAAAACTCATAAATAACTACAAATAACTAATGTTAGGGAAATCTGTTAATGTTTTGTTGTGCGTTTCTGAAAAAGAACCCATAAAAAAATAAAAATATCGGTCGATATATCGGAATATCGGATTTTAAAACTAACAAATATTTGTATCGGTATCGGCCTTCAAAATCCTTTATCGGTCGGGCTCTAATATATATTTATATTTACCTCAGCTTGTGGAAAAGCTGCTTGAGATGTCTTTCTCTTTACTATCACTGTTATGATAACATGATATTATGATGTGAACGACTAGTTGTTAATGTAATGACGTGTTTAAATGTGCATCAGAGATGTTTCTCTCTTCTGCAAGTGCGGTGGTAAAACAATCACAGGAAAAGAGTGTTGAAGCACATGATAAACCAGTAAAATCCAAATGCTTTATACAGAGATAAGACCAAAATATAAATGCTTATAATAAGTGGACATGGCAACACTGCAAGAGTGACACCTTACAAAGTTAAAGTCACAGTTCCTTGACTGTCACCGCCATTATATTTTTAAAACAATAATATCTTAGTAAAACCTAATGTAATATTGACAAACTACATTTAATTTTAAAGCTTACAATCTCTAGTTTTTATATTTGGTGGCTGTTTTTAAAATAAATACAGAGGAGTAGTAATTTATTAACAAGAACATTTCGTATTAATTGGGCGTGTTTCGGCCTTTATTCTGAAATAGCAATAAACATGGAGAATCGTGAAAGATTGGTAGAAACCTCAGTTTGTTTTCATGCCAAAGGTTCAAAATATAACACCAATTCAATTTTATGATAAAAAAGGTCTCAGAATGTTTTAAATGTAAAGAAAAACATTATGGATTATGGATTCTTGATTTGCGATGCGGTTGCAAGCTATACCGCACTTATGTGCTCATTTTATGCGTTTGTTAGAGGTTGAATTCAAATCAATACTGCAACACCCCCCATACTTCTTCTGAATAGGATGTCTACTTCATAAATTGGGGAATACATGGTTCAGATCTCTCAAAATATATATGGAAATGGAGGCGTCCTTATATGGTCAGAGAGGAAGCTTGGCCGTCCATCTAGTGAAAAAGTTTGGTACTGCACCCAAATAAAATCTCCCTGAAAGCTAATTTTTTGGAGATATCAACCTAAAATTTGGAACACAACTCGTTCAGAGTTTTGGCTTTCATTTTCTTGCGGTTTTAGAGTAAAATATATTTTGTAATATATATATTTTATGTAAAATATAAATAATTATATTTCTACATTGTACATTTTCATAACTCAAACGTACATAACTTTTTTCTGTTTCACTTTCATAATTTATTTCACTTCTACAATAATCTGGGAAATGTCCTCTTTAAAACAAGACCTAACAATAGGGGTATATTCCAAAGCATTCTTGAATTACAACCATTTTTAAGTTTGGATAGTGATTTTCATGTCTATGCGAAAAAAAAGGTAATATAAAATATATAAAAAGGATTTTCATGTCTATGCAGTTAAAGGTAATATACATATAAAATAGTGGATAGCAAACAAGCGTGATGCCAGAATGTTGTTTTGCTTAACACAAAGTCAATCATTGCAATTTCCGGACAAGCCATTTTCCGTACAGACACGAAATTATAATTTAGGGGATTCAACGCTGGATTTAAATGTGGTTGACTTTACTAGCTTTACAGCGTGTATGTATGTGGCTTACTAAAATGATATTCTTCAACAACAAGAATATCCCAAGTGTCCCACATAGGACTAAAAGACATACAGGTTTGGACCAACATGAGGGGTAAATACACCATTTTAGGAGAAATTTGCATATACCATAATGTCAGATGTAAAAAACAGAAATAGAAAGTGAAAAGACTCAAAGACACCAACCAAAGCTTGAGGAAATTTGGGGTTTTTGGCCAACTTCTTGGAGAGGACCCACACAACACCTGCGATAACGCAGAGCAACACGAACCCTCCTCCCAGCAAAGCCAAGATCAATCCTGTGTGGTCTTCAGAAAAGAACATTTCACTGATGAAAGCCATCGACTCTAGTACTCACAAAATGACATTCTCATAAGCTAAAGGTGAAGTTCCACTATAGCATCAGACAAAACAACACAAGTTGAAGCACTCAGACAGATAACGGCTTAAATACTCCTTTCTCGTTATTGAATGAATTTAAAATATTTCGCAACATTTATCTTGCTTAGGCCAACACTTTGGATAAATTACACTGAGCTTGTTGCAATGCATTATGGGATTTTCCACCAATAATACACAAGGTGCAAAAATTAGGCCAAAACCAATGCATATTAGGAGGCAGCATACTAGATACTAGGGGTGTCACGATTTCGATATTAAATCGAAATCGATCGAAATTAATTCAATGGTATCGAAATCGAAATAAAAAATGGTATCGTCGATACTGCCACGCCCCATGTCGTGTCCGTGATGGAAAGTTCGGATCGTTTTACTGACTCTATTGTTCAATCTCGTTCATCAAAATTAACTAAACTTTTTTTCTAGTCATTTCAGGGGCTTTAAATGTTATACTATTAAGTTATGTTACTTGTTTTTGTTATATTTTAAATTTGGCAATGGTGTAGTGTACATTGTGAACAAATTTATATTGCATAATGCATGAATGTGTAGTCTAAAAATTGCATAGCAATCTGCGCTTTACTTTTTTTTTTAAATCGAGAATCGAATCGAATCGTGACCTTAGAATCGATAACTTAATCGAATCGAGGATTTGGAGAATCGTGACACCCCTACTAGATACTAAATTTATTAATAAATATAGCTGATCACAGATCACAATTCTGTTTAGTGCAGTTAGTGGCACAGAAATGAAATTTTTCACCTTTAAAATATGTTATTCTGAATATATCCCCTTATTCTGAAGTGCTGACTGAAACCATAGTGGAGATTATCCAGTGCACTCATTCAATCCCAGAATGCACCTCACAAACCGTTTGTGGTTCAAGTGTTTCACAGTCGTCTCTGGTGCATGAATTTGACATCAGTGTCCATACTCTAAAGATGCACGATATATCGGCCACTTTATCGGTATCGGCCGATATATGTTAATTTGTAATGTAACAGTTATCGGCGCATTAAGAAAATTTGGCTGACATATTAAAGCTGATAAATTATTCAGCTGAGGCACTTCAGGTGTGAATTGTTCAACATGATGGTTTTGAGACACTTGATGGTTTGAAAGGAAAATACAGAAAAGTAAGTGTAAATATCTGTCATGTCGGCTACATAAAATTATAATGAGGAAATTATAATTGTGTGCTTGGGATGGTGAGACTTTTGTTTTTGTAATCAGGCTCTCACAAAATATATAAAATTTAGATTTATCGGCCGATATATCGGTTATCGGCTTTAACTCAAATATAAAGAATTATCATTATCGGCCAAAATTTTCATTTTGAAACTAACTTTCGCTCACTCTTTCTCATGCAGTGACTTATGTGCCATTGAAAAGTGAGTGAGGAGATAAGGTGATTTCTAACACAGCTCATGTGTGCAAACAAGAGATCTCAATATCGGTAGCATTTTACCAGTGTGGGGCGTCAGGTGAGGGACACAGACGTGTCTGGAGGTGTGTGTAGGAATAGCTGCGATCTTCCCTTCAAACCTCAGCTCCACACACTGTCCGGCCACACTTTGGTTAAGGGGGATTTCATAATTGCACTGTTGTTCATCCCAAAAACAGAAGTTTGAAAACGTTTCCTGAAGACGGAGAATAGAAAAGAGTGATTTCAGAGAAGAAAAATGTAAGTAACATGGAGGAGTGTGTGTGATTACACCTCTTTCAGTGTTTTTTTGACTGCATTTCTGACCTGATCATGTGTGATTGTGTATTTGAATTCCTCGTTCAGAATATCCTGCTCATAATATAAGGAAGGGTGCCAAAAAGACACTTCAATCACATCTTTCCGGACCGAGGTATTTACAGCTGGGAAGTCCAAAGAGCCTGTAAAAAACACACAATATTACTCAAATTTTTTTTGTTTGTTTGTTTAAGCTTAAAGTTTACAAAAACTATACCACACTTAAGAATGATCAAAAGACTAATAAAAGTTATGAATTTCCATTTTGGGATGAATAAATTGCAGATGTTTTATCCCCTTTAGTGTCACGGCCCACCGGTGGGCCAAAATCCATTACATTTTTAAAACAGTATTATCCTATACTAAACCTAAACTAATCTTGACAAACACCAACTTCATATTTGGTGACACACTTGATTTTCAAAATATATTACAGAGGAACCCATAATTTACAACAAGAATATTTTCATACTCTAAGGCGTGTTTAGACCTTTATTTTGAAATTCAAATTGTGATGAACATGAAAAATAATGAAAGAAGGGTAGAAATCTGTTTGTTTTCATGCCAAGAGTTCAAAAGATAGCCTCCATTCAATTATTTTAGAAAAAAAGGTCTGATTTTTTTTTTTAAATATAAAGAAAAAAATTATAGATTCGCCATTTGAGATGTGGCAGGAAGCTATGTGTTTTCTTTTTCTTTTGTTTCTTAGAGGTTGAATTCATATCAAAATCTGCCAAACTTCTCATATTACTTCTGAATAGGATGTATACTTCATAAATTGTATGAAAATTGTGGAAATAATTTTTCATATCACTCAAAACGCCCTTATATGGGCAATAATGGAGTCTGGTTGTCGTCTAGTGAAAAAGTTTGGTACTGCGCCCAGACAAAATCTTACCGAAAGCTCATTTTTTGAGATATCAACCTAAAATTTTAAACAACTCTTATTCAGATTTTTGGCTTTGATTTTTTTTTGTGTGCAATTTTAGAGTCGCCCGGGTTTTAAAAATATATATTTTATATAAAATATTAATAATTAAAATTTTACATTGTACATTTTCATAAACACAAACTTCTATAACTTTTTTTCTGTTTCACATTCTTAATTTATTTCACTTCTACAAAAATCTGCCAAATGTCTTCTTTAAAACGAGATCAATCTTAGGTCCATATTCCAAAGCATTCTTGAATTACAACCATTTAAGTTCGAAATGTGCATTTTCATCTATATTCAAAAAGGGGGGTGACACTTAAGGGGTTATACGTATATAGACCTTATGTAGCTCCGCCCCTTTTCAGCGCTGCGCTCGTTGTCTTTTGACTTCCGGTCTGTATTTCCACAGCAATCTTGAAAACCTCGTAAAAAAAGTCCCGGTCGACATTTGTTAAGACATCTGCTTTACAATAGAGCCCGACCGATAAAGGAGGCCGATACCGATACAAATATTTGTTGGTTTTAAAATCCGATATATCGGCCGATATTATAATTTTTTATGTTTTTTTCAGAAACGCACAACAAAACATTAACAGATTTCCCTAACATTAGTTATTTGTAGTTATTTATGAGTTTTAACTAAAATAATATAATGCATTTTAATAAGAAACTTGTTTCTTTTATTGTCACACCAGAACAGACTGGTGATAGTGGCATTAGCTAGCTTTGTGGTTAGCTAGTCTATGATGAGCCATAATTTAGCAATGGATAACGTCATTCTGCAAATTGGAAAACATACATTTTCAATATAACAGGCCAAGAAGAGATTTAATTGTTATTCAAGCAATGTGTGTCGTGACCAACTCAATGAGTGTTGCCAACAGGGACGGTGTAGAGTGCCCTCTGGTGGACAAACTATACAACTCCAACACTCATGACATGGTTCAAGCGTGTTTCATCCGTTTTTATTTTATTTTTGAAATATTAATTTATCGGCCATTATAACTGCCGATACCGATAATTTGGAAAATGCATAATATCGGCCTGCCGATATATCGGTCTGGCTCTACTTCACAATGCTTATGATAACTTTTGCCATAGAAATATACAGAGCGACCGCAAAAACGGAAGTTCAAAGACAATATTCTAAAGATGACGACGCCCACGTTTCTCTGGTGCATAAGGTCTATAGGTATAGTGTTTCATCCTCATTAGTGCCACGCAAATTTCACTGTAAAAAAAGTATAATACTGTATCTATATTATTAAGTTATACTCAGAGAACTTACATTTATATTTATGTGTTTTCTCATCATAATAGTCTTTGCTGTATGTGAATCTAATGGAGGCACTTTCAGATTTCTCTTGTCCAACATGTGCCGTCACATCCACAAAATAATCATCCGCTGCATCGTCGCTGTTGTTGCTGATATCAAGGTACGTCTGGGACGTGTCGACGGTCCGAGCAACACTGCAGATAAATGACACAGAGTGAGTGTCTTGTGATTAGGAAATGTCACGTGATTCTCTGAAATTGTTTTTTCAGCATCTTTTGACACACACACACGCACGCACGCACACTCACACGTATGTAGTACACTCACTTACACACACACTCACACGTACATACCTTTCATAAGGTTCGACCAGTACACTGAACCTCAGCTGTTCAGCGGGATTACTGTAGTTCCAGTAAATCACATTCACAAAGTTATGACAAACAACACTGACGTTTGTCGCAGGAGGAACTGAGGAAAAACAAACGCCGGTTAGATTCAGATTTACACATCACTGCAAACTCATGATTACAACATTTTTTTCCAGTATTGCTAAACAGGTACTGAAATGTTTTTTCTCAGACAGACGTCATTTCCCTGATGAAAGATTTTGAGGTTTGAATCATATGACATATGATGCTTACATGTTGATTTTAACAGACAAATATACATTATTTTCAATGATTAAAAATGCACCGATTGCACTTCTCTCAATCAATTCTGATTTTTTTTTACAAGTGTGACATGACAATACCGGTTTCCTTTCAAAGAACGGAAGAAAAATCTACTTTTGTTTTATTAATGCACAATAAAGTAAAATGAGTTAACAGTAATACAGTTTTTTACAATCACTTTGTTGCTATTTTCAGAACCTTGATGTAATTTTTCAAAACTCTAGACACATCACAGGCTGTCTAATGTTCAAAACACTGCATTGTGCACTCACGTCACATCTTTAAAGAAATCTTGCACTTGCACAATCATTGGTTCAAAAAAACTAATTTACTGTGAAATACCATTGAAACATAACTATAGATCTCTCTCACACACACAAGCAACCGATAGTTTCACTGTGTCATTCATACATCATTAAATATTGTAGAACAAAGTAGATCCAGGTTTCATTATGGTTCTACATGTACAGTAAACACATCTCTGTAAAAGCACTGCAGTAGTAAAGTGAATGCACACACAAAGTGTGTGATATATTGACAATCACAATCACAACAAAGGTTTACTGGAATCAAAGCAAAAATATAAAATATTACGTATCCATGGATATTGTAGTCTAATTGGTTCATGCTCCATGCTAACTGGTGACAATAAATCTCGTTATCTTGAAACTTTCATGATTTACTGTAAACATGGAAGATTGTGTGTCTGTTTCCATTAAGAGTAATGCAACAGTTCTTTATCATTTTGAGCAGTTGTATCGTAAGGAAATGAATAGACACTCATTTGAAATGTAATGTGTGAATTTCCCTTTGAAATACTCGTTTTTTAATGTTAAGTTGTGTCATATTGAACAAGTGATTTTTGTTGAATGAACACATGATCTGAGTTGTATGTGTATCGTGTCCAAGCAATTGTGAAAATGGTTAGTTTTGAAAAATGTGCATTTTGATCATTGGTTGTGAGTTTTGAGTCTAGATTTGTGAAAAAATGTCATCAAGGATCTGAAAATAGTAACAAAGTGATAGTAAAAAAACTGTAAAATGAGAACAAATAATTTTAACCAACGGCAAAATTAATGCAATTTGATACAGAGAGATATGAAATAAACACGTTTTTTTTAGGTATACAAGTATACAGTATATTAAACTGACAAATACTACAGAAATAAAGTTTTCAGATGTAAAATAACACTGGATAGTTTTCATTGTAAACATTTCTTTGTCTTTTGTTCTTTTATTAACATGACAGACAGAACATGGCAGCAGAAATATTAGACTACTGTCACTTTAAGAGTTTATGCACGGATAATAAAAACCTGCCGGGGTCACAAAGACAAGTATATCCAGCATACACACCGAAACCGAAATATTTCAATCAATACCCTCTAAAACCAGAAAGCCAGGGGTGTGTTTTAGAGCCCGACCAATAAAGGATTTCGAAGGCCGATGCCGATACAAATATCTGTTGGTTTTAAAATCCGATATATCGGCCGATATTATTATTATTTTTTTATTTTAGAAACGCGCAACAAAATATTAACAGATTTCCCTAACATTAGTTATTTGTAGTTAATTATGAGTTTTGACTCAAATAATATGATAATGCATAACCGGTTCTCAGCAGGTTGCTAACAGGAACGGTGTAGAGTGCCCTCTGGTGGACAAACTATACAACTCCAACACTCATGACATGGTTGAAGCGTGATTCGTCCGTTTTTATTTTATTTTTGAAATATTCATTTATCGGCCATTATAACCGCCGATACCGATATTTTAGAAAATGCCTAATATCAGCCGATAATATCGGCCTGCCGATATATCGGTCTGGCTCTAGTGTGTTTACTAGGGGTGTAACGGTACATGTATTCGTATTGAACCGTTTCGGTTCGAGGCTTCCGGTTCGGTACGCATACAAACCGAACGATTGCTTGGACCATTTTTCCTGCCGGCAAAATTCGTGCTGACGCAGCCAACACAACGTTGCGCAACATCAAATGGCAAGCGTAATGAAAGCAGAACGAAACTGCGCTACTCGTTATGTGCTTCACGGATCGTTTATCAGTTCGGACCAGCAACATCTGTGCAGCGCGAGCCGATCTCGATCAAGCAACACTGTTAACACACCGCGCTAAGAGATCCGGTACAGAAAACATTTGAATTCGCCACTGAGGTAATAACATCGCTGCGAGATCTAGTGAGATGCATTCACATTTCTCCGTTATTAACCGTAGATCTCTATTAGATCAAACAGCGCTGTCATGGAAACCAGGAGAAACACATTGTGCCGTGAATGAACTAGTAATACTTTCGTCCACAGACCAGCAACATTCACCATGGATTTAATATAGTAACACTAACTGGAACCAGTTTGGCTGGAATAGTACTTCACACATCTTTTTCCAGCACTTCAAAATTCAAATATTATATAAATATATATATATATATTTAAATGTTATTTTTAATGTGATGACCAAAACATTATTTGTTCATCCTTCAAAGATGACCCTCATTTATAAACCTGAAAGTTTCAAGATCTAGGAAAACTCACACTTTTTTAAAAATATTTTTTCTTAGTTTAAACAAATAGGAAATTTCTCTGGCATTTCTTTCTTTTTGCTGTATCGAAAACGTACCGAACCGTGACTTTAAAACCGAGGTACGTACCGAACCGTGATTTTTGTGTACCGTTACACCCCTAGTGTTTACCGTACAACGACACGACTCGCTGCTAAACTACCACAGTGCATCGTTGAAGAAAACAACTAACGTTAGCTAGTTACGACTGTTTCCCGAAACTATTGTCGCAAATTGGTCGTTCATTCAATCATGTTGGTTTATGATGTCACGCACGTGGTGGAGTAATAACTTATTTTAATGAAACTGTTTGAAATCGAATTAATGCTAAATGTTTTGATATAATTTACAGACATGGGATCTGAGGAATATTTCTCAAATATTTTTTTTCCAGATTGGCTCCTTGTATGTAGAGCACGTTCGCACATGCGCGCGCTTCAAAAACGGTGCTTTAAATCTACTGACAAACTCAATGTAAATGACATTTGTATTGTAAAAAAAAGACAAAATTTTTTTTTTTTTTGCTTATGATAAGGATTTAGTAAGTCTATATGTCAAAAAATTTAGAAACTCTGCTTCTAACTGTAGCTCGAGATCTGTCACTCACACACACACACCTCTGCGATGCTGTTTGCGAATGTGTGTTGGACCGAAGGTTTCGGGAAACACCGACTCGTTCAACTGATGATAACGACCGAACTAGCGAACATAGTTGGACAACGATGCTTTCGGGTAACGCACACAACCAGTCTAGACTGAGTGGGAGACCAGCTGAGATCAGTAAACTAATTTAGACGCTATTTAATAAGCTATTTTTATATTTTATCAGGATACATAACTCCCATCCCATAACTCCCAGCCATTATTGGCAGTGTACAAACGGTTTAAAGCAATACGTTTTTTTGCATGTTATTTCAGCTTAACAGGGTCATTATGATCTGAGGAAGTGGCTGCTATTCACAGGAAATGCTTCTCTTGCTCAATATCAAGACGTCAAACACAGTAGGAGTCTAATGAGTAGAAACATTAGACTCTAGACTGTTAGATTATTACTTTTTTTATTATAAATATGCTAGTAAAAATTAACAGAAAAAAAACACACAAAGCCACAACTGAGAGATTTGATCATTGATGTTAAGACTATGAAATGTTACACCACTCAATAGTGCAAAAAAGTCTTTTTTGACTTTTTTTCTTTATAAAGCTCCTTATGAAGCTGTTTTTTTTCTTTTTGTAGTATTAATTGTTAAGCCATCTCGAGTCACTACAGACTCTAGACATATTTCGACTGTGAGACAGTTGAGCAAAGCTCATATTGCGGTTTCTGAATAGCAATTGAGGAAAAAGTTGCCAAATTATCACTGAAAATCAACCAAATAAAAAAAATCTGACTTGTAAACGTGTTTGAGAAAACTTTGTTTAAGAGAAGTGAAATTTAGAAAGCAGAAATCAGTTTTTGCACTTGAGAGGAAGTTTAGTGCTTTTAACACTCATAGTTTAGTTTTGATGTGAGAGTATTTCAATGGGAATATTCCCATTGAAATACTCTCACATCAAAACTAAACTATATATATAGCCTTGCCACAGCCATCTTGATCACATACCATCTTTGTCCTTTTTATTTTGTTCCTCAACATTATTATTTACTTTAGGCTTAAATAAGTATGTTATTTGTGCCTGGCTTTGTGTGCAGGGCTTTTAAATAGTATACGGTTGCTTTTAAAAGCCTGTGTTTGTTTGTTCGCTGTTTATTTCATCTCACGAAGTCAAGCGGTGTCGCCGTCGAACAATGCTAAAGGCCACACTGATTTGCAGCTGTAACCACGTGTGAGGAGTGACATTTTCACATCCGCTCACATCAGACCTAGCTGTGGTTTTACTGTGACACACGTGTGAAAATAAAACCAAAGTCTGTGCCACGTTATTTAGCACCCATACTGTACATTCAACAGCAAACTCTGGCCAAAACATCGGCGGACTGACTGGCACATTGGTGCAAACAAGAATTGAGAAAGAATTCAAGAGATGGAAACGAAGGAATGAAAAGAACAACAGGAAGGAAGTGAAAGAGCAGGAGAGAGAAATGAGAGAAAAACTGTCACGCAAAGACAGGCGATCATACAAACAAAAGTTTGAGTCCTAAAGCCAAACTGCAGTCATTCGAGATCCTCTGCAAACCAACACTATAGAGTTCAATAGAAATATAATACCCGCTTACTAGTG